AGAGTGCACAGTGTGGCAAGCAGTGGAAAAAGTATATCAACAAAAAAAAAGTTCATTCTAACTCCCTGAACAGGTCTAGTCACAGACAAGTTTAGGAGACGCCGTGAGACTTCCATGTTCAGTATGCACCTCTTAATTAGTGACAGGTAATTATAGTTGAAAAATGATGCAAAGGAAACAGTCATTCTTACTTGTAGGTATTTTATGTAATACGTCTGCCAAAGAAACTGAAAGTTTCCCTTTAGCTACAATAAATCTTGGCCAGGTATGCGGGGAGTTGACTTAGTCCTCGGAAAATTCTCAAAAAAGCTTCACTTATCTCTTATCTGTCATGTAGAGACGTCAAAGATTCTACACTAGAATGTATACATAGGAGGTTCCATGGTGAGTTTTCTATTTTTTTTTTCCTTTCTCAGACTTTTACTAACATTACGTAATTTTCTGATCAGCAGTATTGATTGGGAGAATTGAAGAATTGCACATCTGTAGAAAGTCTGTAGAATTTTTAATTGAGGACATTAAGGAAACCTAATCTTCAAGAAGTAAAGATGTAGCCTTATCGAGCGCTAAAGTGCATAGACCATAGAGAGTTTATCATAGTTCGGGGTATTGAGGCAAGAAAACGAGGCAATGTGGTTCCAGGTTTTGTCATCTATGTAAGTAAATAGTTCAGAAGGCACTTACGAAGTAGAATGATAACCATGATGATCTGCTTGTAGTCCCTGAGTAACGGTTTCACCAGCACATAAGATCTGAGAGGAGATAGATTTAGATTCTATAAGATAGTATCTCCTGTGCTTAATTAAATCAGACTGTAAGCAACAAATTTAAGGTCAAAATAGCCTCAAATTACAGCCCTAAATTTGAAAAAAAATTTGAATTGCAGTCAATTCTCACTTTAATACGTAATCCTGTTTAGTTCTGCAGTTTTGACCATGTCGTCCTCTGAGATCTGTTGGTATCGCATGGTAGAGTCATGCTGTGTCTGGAATCTGGGATAACTCCCATCTGCTGAGTAAGTTGCTCAGTTTTACCGGTTGGTTTAAATGTAACATCGTTGTTGATGTGTCTACTCCCTCTAAATCCATTTTCCCCTCTGTGCCTCTCTCTCACAAATACCTGTCACAAATACCTTTGTATGCTGTATATTTCCTCAATAAATTCTCTTAGGTTCATACCTTGCCTCAAGCATTAGTTCCAGTCCTGTTACTGGGAGATTAATAGGTGGGAGTTTGAATTCAGCAACAGCAAAGGGCATTCACTACAGAAGAGTATTTAAGGTAGGTAATTCAGTCATGCAAGTGATGCAGCAGTATCCAATTAATGCCGGGCCAGGACTGCTATATTTACGTAATATTGTCTGAAAAATCACAAGCAGTTCATAGCGCAGGCCTGTAAACGCACATTGGAACATTGTATTCAAACAGTACCATAAAAAAAAAAAAAGAAAGACAGACAGAAAAAAACAAAAACAACTCACAAAAACTATCAAGCACGCAGGAAAAATATCTTGCAAAGAGTAGGAGTCAAAAATGTGTCCTTTGGAATGGTGGAGAAATATCAGCTTTGTAAATTATGTTTTAAAGGTTTACTCTAAGCACCAAAACAACTTTTGCTTAACCCCTTTAGGACGGATTCAATAGTGCACGTTTTGATCAAAACAAAACGTAAATAAAAACTGGAATTTGCGCTATATGTCTGTTCAACCGTAATTCACCGCTGTCACATTAGGTGCACCCACACTAATTATATATAATTTTGTTCAGGAGAAACAGGGCTTTAATTTATCATTAACTATTCATATATGGAACATAATTTATTATGAATAAAATTTAATAAAATGTGAGAAAATAAGAATTTTTGTAAAATCAGCAATGTCTCACAAGTACAACAGTACCCCCCATTAACAGGTTTTATGGTGTTTTGGAAAGTTACAGGGTCAAATATAGAACGTTCCATTTTCACATTGAAATTTGCCAGATTAGTAATGTTACCTTTGAGACGGTGTGGTAGCCCAGGAATGAGAATTACCCCCATAATGGCATACCATTTGAAAAAGTAGACAACCCAAGGTATTGAAAGTGGGGTATGTTTAGTCTTTTTTAGTAGCCACTTAGTCACAAACACTGGCCAAAGTTAGCATTCATATTTGTTTTTGTGTGAAAAAAGCAAAAAACTAATATTTGGCCAGTGTTTGTGACTAAGTGGCTACTAAAAATGACTTGGGTATTTTGCAAATGGTATGCCATCATGGCGGTAATTCTTATTCCTGGGCTACCATACTGTCTCAAAGGCAACATAACCAATCTGGCAAATTTCAATGTCAAAAAAATGAAATGCAAGCCTTATATGTGACTCTCTAACTTTCCAAAACACCATAAAACCTGTTATTCTCGGGAGACTTCACTAAACACAAATATTAGTTTTTTAAAACAGTAAAACATATTACAACAATAATATAGTCCATAAAAGTGCAAAAAATTTCACTTTTACTTAAAATATCATCGTTGTAATACAATTTACCAGTTTGAAACACTAATATTTGAGTTCAGCGAAGTCTCCCGAGTAAAACAGTACCCCCTATGTACAGGTTTTATGGTGTCTTAGAGAGTTACAGGGTCAAATATAGTGCTTGCAAATTAAATTCTCTGCACTTTCTCCCTGTGTTGTCAGGCATGTCAATCAAATTTTAATTAATCAAATCACATAATTATGTTAAAAGATTACTTAAATATACACGTAGAATTTTAATATATATGCATATATAGGTATTTAAATTCTACGTGTATACTAATGTAATCTTTTATGTAATTATATGTATTTATATATATATATATATATATTTGCGGTTATTTGTATTTCATATATAGATAGACAAAAATACAGTTAGAATGAAATTACATATGGATATATAATTTATATTAAATTTTGTTTCAATATTTCAATATATTCAATATTTTATTTATTTATTTTATTATTTTATGTATTTATTATTGTAATTATACGTATATATATATATATATATATATATATATATATAATATATGTGTATATATCTATTTTATATAAATAATATATATCTTATATATATGTAATGTCATTTTAAGTGTATTTTAATACTAATATATATACTTATATTAATATTAAAATACACTTTGTATGATGTTACATATATATAATATGTATATATATTATATATATAATAGATATACATCTATTATATATCTAAAAATACATTTATTTTAATTTTACACATGTTTAATTTTTTTTTTTTACTTTCCCACCAGCAGGGGGACTGTCTGACATTTCAGACTGTCCCTCTGCTGGCAGATCCACAGCCAGCTATAGGGGGCCATGTGATTGCTCTTTGAGAGCGATCACATGGCCCCCGAGGGCCTCATTTGCCAGGGGAGGGCTGCCTGGGCTGTCAGGCAGCCCTCCAGAAGAGGATCGTGGCGGAGGTAAGTCCACCAGACCTCCAGGGGCTCAAAGCCGTTACGGCATTCCATGCCACCGCAACGGCTTTAAAGCCCTTTTAATGCGGGATGGCATAGAACGCCGTAACAGCGTTAAGGGGTTAAAGGAGGAGTTTTGGTGTATAGATCATCCTACTGCAGTCTCCATGCTCAATTTTCTGCCATTTAAGAGTTAAATCACTTGTATTACTGTTTATGTTGCCTTAGCAACACATCTCTTGTCTGTGACTAACACAATCAACATGAAAAGATTGTTTAATTTTCAATCACATCGGACAGCATAGTGTGTTTACTTTAAAGGTTGTTATCTCCTGCTCTGTTAAGTAAACTTTAATCACACATTGGAAGCTCCTGCAGTCTCTACACCAAAACCACTTCATCAAGCTAAAGTTATTTGGTGCTTCTAGTGTCCCTTTAATAGATACGTGACATGGCTACAAATGAACTACATCCAAACTGGTTATTCTTTGCATACAATGCATAGTTGTTATTTTTACATGTAATACAAATGCCTTTATGCAATACATTGTGTTAAGGTTTACGTTGTCTTTCAGCCTTTATTGTTCGTCTGACCCTGGCCTTGGTTTATTTCCTTCTGTGGCTGAATCTTATCTACCCTGACACTGTGAAACTGTGAAGCACACCAAAATAGCATAATTTAACAAAAGTCTGATCCATGGAGGCCCCAACTTCGCACCTTGCAGGACTTGTGGTTATGTCTTGATACCAGATAAAACAGGACAAGTTCAGAGGTCTTGTGGAGTCCATACCTTGATGCATCAAAGTTGTTTAGGCAGCACGAATCGGGGTATACAATATTAGGTAGGTGGTTTTAATGTTGTGGCTGATCAATGTATATTGTATTTATTATTATTATTTTATTATTTATATAGCCCTGGAGAAAGCTTGGAGGCGAGCATTAGTGGTGGGCGTACGGACAGAAGATAGACGTAGGTCTTCGGCAGAGCGTAGAGGCCTCGACGGGACATACTTGTGTATTAGGGAGGATAGATAGGTGGGAGCAGCATTATTTAGGGACTTGTAAGCAAGCACCAGAATCTAACTGGACAAGAAATTCCCCAGGCACTAAAGGTGTTCAAGCCGCAGGCAATAGAACAAAAAAAAGGAGCAGCAACGTTTGAAAAGACCTCTTGGCAAGCTTGAACAGCTTGAGTGCCTGGAGAATTTCTTGTGTTGGCTTATCATTGTGGGATTTGTAATCTTGCTCCGGAGCAGTGGGTGGCTGCTGAGATTGTGCGTGGCTCCTGTTGTCATTTTTACTATATCTAACTGGAAGCAGGGCCGTCTTTAATATTAATTGGACCCTGGGCAAAGCATTTGCTTGGGCCCCCTGGATCCTGTACACCCTCCCCAGGTGTGCAATCACGTTATCACCCTTAAAGCAGTGGCGGACCTAAAGTAGAGGTGCAAGAATATATTTTTGGACCTCCCTATTGCAAGGATATTTAAAAGGTAGATCCATATCTGTCGTGCAACTCCAGCAATGCATTGACAGCTGGGGCACTACCATTTACCCATGTTTGCAGGTTTGTATTTAGCACTAAGACGTTTTTGTGTGTTTCAATGTAAACAGGTTTTTGGATGGAATATGTTTGTATGTGGTGTTGGCGTTTGAATGTAAGCATGTATTTATGTGTAGTGTTGGTTTTTGAATGCAGGGGTGTGTATACATATAATGTTGGTGTTTAACACAGACATGTATTTGTATGTAGTGCTGAAGCTTGAATGCAGGGGTGCATTTGTATGTAGAGTTAGCGTGTGAATGTTCAGATGTATGCACATATACACACACAAACACACACGTAGATTTACACACACTGAAACACATGCAGACACACAGATATATACACACACACAGACACACAAATAAACAATCTGACACATAGATACACAACCTGACACACATTCAGATACAAAGACACACATACTAATAACATACAGATACGCATACTGACAACATACAGATACACTGAAATACACAAAGTCAACATACAGATACACACTGACACACATACAGATACACACTGACACACATCCTGACACACATACAGACACACATGCAGTTACACAGACACACATATATACACCTGACACACTTGCAGATACACAGATACACACAGACCTCATACACACACAGATACACACAATGACAACATATAGATACACACATAGATATACAGATACATAGAGACAGACAAACTAACACACAAACATACACTGATAGACATACTTACACAGACACAAACTGACAGACATACTGACACATAGACAGACATATATATACTGAGAGACACACAGACATACTGACACACTAACAGACATGCTGACACAGACATGCACACACTGACATACATATGGACACACACAGACACATACACTAACAGAAATGCAGACACACACACATATAGTGATATACATATTGACACACATTCACAGACACACACACAGGCATACTGACATGCTGACACATACACTGACAGACATATTGACACACACATATACTAAGACATTCTGACATACATTCACAGACACACTGACAGGCATACTGACACACACAGGCAGACATACTGACACATACACTGACAGCCATACACAGGCAAACAAACTGACACACACAGGCAGACATACTGACACATACAGGCAGACATACTGACACACACATGCAAACATACTGACACACACAGGCAGACATACTGACATACACAGGCAGACAAACTGATATACACAGGCAAACCTACTGACACATACACTGACAGACATACTAACATACACAGGCAAACATACTGACACAAACACTGACAGACACCCTGACATACAGACATATACTGAGACATTCACACACACACAAAATTTACACTATTAAACCCATCCTCCAGTTTCCTACCTTGGTGGCTGAAGCTGTTGGGAGTTGGGGTCTGGCTAGCTTGGTTCGGCCCAGACCCCCTACACTTTGCCTCTTCCTCCTCCCATGTGCTCCTCTCTTTATGGGAGGAAGTGACTTTGAGGTTGGAGTCAAAGAGAACACCTAGGCAGCGAGCCTGTGAAGTAGAGGTGATTGTGGTGCCGTTGACCTGGAGACAGACAGACACGGGAGTAGCAACACTTGAGGGAGGAAGGACCAGAAGTTCTGTTTTTGGACAGGTTGAGTTTAAGAAGGAGAGCAAAAAACGGGGCGCAAGAGAATACTGAGAACGAGCAGCAGCTGCATTAGCCTACCCGTTGGTGGGTCCCCGCTCAGATCTCAAGCTGGTTTAAGCTCATCAGAGAGAACATCTCTGAAACATATCAGACTGGTCCAACATATGGGCATCCCAGATCCGAAATGCCAGCAAGTTCCCTCTGCACGAGAGACACAGCAACCCCAGACGATCGTTTCAGCCTTGTTAGGCATCATCAGTGAGGCATAGCTGATATCTCTCTAGGCACGGTGAGCAAGGGGTCCACGTCTGGATTACCCTTTAAACTTATGGAGGCGCAAGAGAATACTGAGTTTAATGAAGTGAGCAGCCATCCAGTTGGAAATCGCGAAGATGCAGTCAGAGACATGAGCCAAGATGGGCAGAGAGAGATCAGAAGAGGACAGGTAGATTTGCGTGTCATCTGCATATGAATGATAATGAAAGCCAAAGGAGCTGATGAGTTTACCAAGGAAGGCAGTATAGATAGAGAACAGTAGGGGACCAAGGACAGAACCTTGGGGAACGCCAACAGAGAGAGGTTGGAGAGAAGAGGCAGAGCCAGAGAAAGAAATACAAAAAAAAAGCGCTTGGAGAAGTAGGAGGAGCACCAGGAGAGAGCAGTATCTAGTGGACCGAGATTACGGAAAATGAGAGGAAGATGTTGATGATCGACAGTGTCAAAATCGTTGGATACTTTGGTCAAAGCCGTTTCGACAGAGTGACAAGCGCGGAATCCAGACTGAAGCGAGTCAAGCAGAGAGTTGGATTCGAGGAAGTCTGTCAATCTTGCATACACAACTCTCTCAAGTATCTTGGAGGCAAATGGCAGAAGCGAGATAGGGCGGTAGTTGGATGGGGACTTGGGGTCAAGGTTGGGCTTTTTCAGAATCGGCGTTATAGTTGCATGCTTGAAGGGTGAAGGAAATGTGCCGGAGGAAAGGGAGATATTGAAAATTTTAGTGAGAGGAAGAGCAAGAGAGGGAGACAGAGTGCAGATGAGATATGAGGGAATAGGATCGAGGGAACAGGCGGTGGGGCGGGAGGACTGGAGCAGAGCAGAAACCTCTTCTGTTGTAATAGGTGCGAATGAGCATAGAATAGCGGAGTGAGTGGGGTTGGGTGATGTATTGTAAGGGGAGTATATAAAATATGTGTGCTCATGCGTGTGTATATTTGTGTGTGTTTATTTAAATATATGCAATGATACCCGAGATAAGCCATATTATTCATCATTCACAAAATTTCTGGGTGTGCCAGGCATTCAGAGTTTAAAGCTGTTTGGTTTCCAGACACACATTGTAACTTTAATCTCTGTTATTAACTTTATAGTACTAGTTATAACAAATGAAAAAGTGCTTTTGACAGGTAATATTATAGAAAGAATGAAAAAAAAATAGTAAGAAAAACAGTTAAACAAAATTAAAATTGCTAATTATTTTGTATCCATCCTATATCACAAGCTACATTACATTGTTTTAATTCATTGATAATGTTTACTGCATGACTGATTTACATTGAAAATTAAAAAAATTTTTATGTAGATGTTTTAATTACATTATATTTTTCTAGCCCAGTTTTATTAATATAACTAACTTTAGCGCTGCAGATGATTTGGGACAACATTTCCCAAGATGCTGATCTCATCACTTTCAAAATAACTGTTCCAAAGTTAATCTAAAGAAGCTATTTCTTCTTTGGGATAGAAAACTCGAATGACTCCAACTATTTACCAGATAAAACAACAGCCATTCTGATGGTTTAATTACAAAGTGGGAATTGAGGAAATTGCGATTTTTAGCCCAGAATAGGTGAATCGGAATCTTTTATTTTTTACAGTTCTCTATATTTCTACACAATATAGTTAATGAAACACAGAACCATACTACAAATATAGGGCAGAGAAAATGATCATTAACCAATTCAAATCTTTGTATTTAATTTACGCTTCCTCTTGAGGAACAGGTAATGCTACTAATGTAGGCAACTGTAATGCCTCAATGATTCATTACAATAAAAGTTTCAGTCTCAAGTGCTGTTGTAACAAAAGTGTAAAAATATTTCATGAGATGTACTTGCTGACAATCCCTTAGGCGCATATAGTATCTAGAGAGTTTTACTATTTACTGTGGGAAGGAAAGAATGCAAGGGTCAATGAGGTTAACACACCCTGTCTATTGCTTATATTTTATCAAACAGATCACACACAAGCATTGACAAATATATAAGTTAGCTTGGGATATATTTAGATACCCATTATTTCACAAACCAATGTAAACTGTACAGGTATGACTAGACCAATGCTTCAAACAAGGAACAGAATAGACCTTGCCCAGTGTTTAATCCACATATTGTGTGTTCAGATTGACAGTCTGTTAACAAAACCTTCCGCAGTTTTCAAACACAAATGACTAGCTTGAGAATTAAAGTTTTTGACATTTAGAGGAATACTTCAAGCACCGTAAGCACTAAGACCTGCTGTAGTGGTTAAGGTGCGTTGAGTAGCCTGGCACCCTTTCAGAGTAAATTTGTTAAACCGTTTCAGAATGGCTTGACAAGTTACTTAGTTCCTGTTGAGAACCCACAGTCTCAGTGTTATTTCTGGAATATTCTTGTGGGAGCAGTGGCGGACTAAGGGGGGGGGGCGGTCCAAACCCAGGACCCGCCCCGGGTGCCACATGCCCATGTGTGGGAGAATTTGTTTAGCGCCACTAAGCTAAGCGGGGCAATGTTTATTGGCCAGAATGCCAGGTCTGAGTGCTCTCAGCGAGTGAGTGAGATCCTGTATCAGGCCATGCTTAGCTTAAAACAGCACTGTTACCGCCTGGGCACTTTGCTGCATTCACAAGGTCCCACGACGGTGACATTGCCGCTGATGGGCCCGTGGTCTTAGGGAGCGGGTAAGGGTGAGATTAGTTACCTTAACCTGTCCCTCGTGGGTGCTGCCATCTTGGTCGCGCTGCTCATCTTTAGCTCCTGGCTTCTCACCAAATGCGCGAGAATACTGCATTGAGGCCTATGGGGAATCCCACATTCTTATGACATACTCATTTTTAACATGGGGGTCACAGTGCTGCTTGAAAAAAGGATATTTACAGAGTAATTCGCTAAGCTCTGATATGTACCAGATTGAAATCTGAATTTTAAAAATTAGGTGAAAATATGATTATAACTGAGAGAGAATTTACCAGTCAGCTATTTTAACCTTGATTTTACCATTTGGATTTCAATGAGGTTTGTTGTATTAACCCTGTTAATGAAGATAGCGAAGAGGCAATAGGGATCACTTTTAGAAGGAACCCAATGGCAGGTTCTAATTGATCCAATTTTAGAACCTGCCATTGGGTTCCTTCTTATACAGGTGGTACTCTAAAAATTTGAATATTGGCAAAAGTTCATTTATTTCAGTAATGCAACGTAAAAGAGAAAACTAATATATGAGGTAGATGCATTACATACAAAGCAAGATAGTTCAAGCCGTGATTTGTCATAAGTGCGATGATTATGGCTTACAGCTCATGAAAACCCCAAATCCACAATCTCAGTAAATTAGAATATTACATGCAATCAATAAAACAAGGAGTGTACATAGAACAATATCGG